GGCTGTGGTGTTGCGGGACGCCGCCGCCCGTTACGACGACGAGGTGGTGGACGCGGCCGCCGCGGCGGTGGGCCAACGTGGAACGGAGCTGCAGAGGAGGCAGGCCGCCTTCGCCACTTCCGCTGCCAGCCAGGCTTGGGCTGAGGCGCATCTCGATGGAGATATACGCTGCGCACGTGGCGTCGCGGGCGGCCACCCACGACCTGTGCGAGCGCATCCGGCCGGGGCGCCTGTGGGACGACGGCGCGCCAGACAAGCCTCTGGCGGACGCCACAGCCAGGTTGGCAGCCAGCTTGGGCCGCGACGCCCTCGGGGTGGCGACCCGGGCGGAGTTGAACCAGGCTGACATGGGAGGTCATATGCGGAGCAAAGCGGCCGAAGCACAGCGCGAGGAGGGCCAGCCAGCCGACGGGGTTCGATCGAGCGCGCACTCAGCGCAGAGGGCGGGAACTCGGTACGAGCTTACCCCATCCAGGACACTGGACATGAATCTTTCCGCGGGCGACTTCGCAGACAACGTCGCGACATTGCTCGGTGTCGATGTGTTAGATGAGGGCAGCGCGTGCCCGCTGTGCGCGGCCCCGCTGGACGCGAAGGGTACGAATTGCCTGTCGTGCGTGAGCGGAGGGGACGCCACGCTTGTGCATAATGCGACCAGAGACGTCTCCTACGACTATTCTGCTGGCGGTGGGCTGCGCCCCAAGCTGGAGGCAGTTGGGTTGCTGGATGACCCTGGGGCACTCGAAACACAACAGGCATCAGACGAGCACCGCCCGGCGGACATGCTGGTGTTCCCCCACATCACCTTAGCACGGTGTCTGCCTGACGGCAGCCGCGCGCGGACACCGTCATGGCGCCGGGGCTCGCGGCCGAGGCCGACGAGCAGAAGCGGAAGCGCAACCGGACGGAGGAGCGATGCCGTGAGCACGGCCTCCGGTTTAGGCGGGTCGCGTCGAGGCCCAAGGCGGCATGTCGAAGGGCGCGGACGCCGCGGTCCGTGCGTTGGCGACGTCGGTGGCGAGCAGAGAGGGCCGGGAGCCGGCCACGGTGCGACGGGAAATGCTTCATCGCATCGCCATCATCGTGGCGAGACGGAGCGCCGCGCGCATAGCGCGCTGGAGGGCGAAGGTGAGCGGGGTTGGTGCCTCGTGAGCGTCAGCGGCCAAGACTACCGTGGGCCGCGGACCACGAGGAGCCCTAGCCCTCTGCTGCTCCCTCTCCTTCCCCCCTCCCTTCCTGGTTATGGGATTGCCCGGCTGTGGAGTTCAGATTTGGGATTGCATCATGCGTTTTAGGGATGTCCATGACTATCAGGAGCCTGAATGGCAGCGCTGCTCTCCCGCCCGCCTGCCTTCCCGGGGGTGTCGCCGTCCCTCCTTCCGCCGTCTGGCGTCGCTCCTCTGCCTGCTCTCCCTCTTGCTCGTCCCTCGGGCCGTCGCCCGGGTTTCGTTTTCCTCTACCCCCCCTCGGCACGGTCGTTCCCTGTCGCTCGCTCTCCTCCCTCCCCCGGCTCCGGGTTCGTCCTGGTCCCCCAGTATCGTTCCCTCCTCTGCCCCGTGGTGCTGTTGCTCTTCCGGGTCGTCCACATCGGGGGCCGCGTGGCGTGCAGGGCGCGCATCGGCAGATTTTCGACATCCCCAGTCCATGGCGTCGGCGACGCTGGCCGATTCGCATCTCCCCCCTTCCTGTCCGAATCGGTGGCCCAAATTTGTCCACGCCCGCTGGACAGTTTCGGATTTGGCGAGTCAGGTTGACACGCTTGGTGTCCTTATCGCTCTCTGACGACTGTTCTGTTGGAAGCTTTGTGGCATCCTCCTCCTCCTCCTCCTCCTCCTCAGAAGAGGAAGGGAGGGAGGGGGAAGGGAGGGACGAGGGATGAAGAAATAGGGGGAGGAGCAATGGAGGAGGCGGAGGAGAACTGGAAAGAGGAGGCAGCCCCTGCGACGCGGGCGGGGCGGGTCCTGCGACTTCTTGGTCGGGATGGTGGTATTTCGCGAGATCAGGCGCGTGAAAACGCCTCGCGGGGCACGGCCAGCGGCGCCGCCCTGCCCAGGACACGATCAGCCAGTGCCCCAGCGCAGTCCAATAGTCCAATCCGGTCGAGCGGGTCCAACCGCCATCAGGCATTCCAGGTGGGGTCCCAGTAGATAGGGTCGAAGGACCGCGCCGCCTCGCTGATGCATCGCAGGTGTATCAGCGATGCATCGGCGACGTCGGCGATGCATCGGCGACGTCGGCGGCGACGCGGCGCAATCCTCCGATCCGATCTGCTCCGCCTCCATTTTATCGGGGATGGACAGACCCCCCTTTAGTAAAACGTGCCCAAACCAGGCGGGCGCAAGCCTGGTAAATGACGGCCGCGGCACCCTCTCGAGAACCGAAAACGGACAATTCACGAATCGACTTGTCAGGGTAGGAAGTCTGTCCACCCCCGATTTTAGAGGCCTGGAGGGATGCTCCTCGCTCCGCGAAGGGAGGCTGAGGGCATTGAAACACCACGGCAACGGGGCGCGCACGCGCGAGAGGGTTGGCGGGCACGGCAACGCCAGTGCAGTCAGGCAGCGTGGTAACCTCAGAAGAGAAAGCATCTCCTTAAACTACGGAGGTCCGCGCAAATTTCTGGGGTCGCCAGCAGGGGCGGTGCCAGAGGCGCTGCCAAGTGAGTCCGGGAGCGATCCGACAAATCCGCGCGGACCTTCAAAACCGTACGTGTATGCCTATTCGGGAGCGGCCAAGAGGGGGGTGTCCAAGAGGGGGGGTGAAAATCATGACCGGCGGCATGTGCGCGGCCCAGCGGGGGGACCAGGGACGTAATGAAATAAGAAGAGGCGCCATGAAACCTTGGGAAATATCATGACCCCCGCCATGATATCCACCCCCCCTGAGTCATCATCCCCCCTCCTTTCCGCCCCCGACCTCTGGTTGCCCGCTTTCGAGAACGGCACGGCAAGTTCGTGTCGTGACGACCTGGGCGCCGCTTCCTGGCACCGCGCGAGGGGTCGCTCCACCCTGAAGCCGCCGCGGCTCTGCGACGGCGCAGAGCCCCTGACAGCGGCGGGCTCGAGGCCACCGGCGGCATGGCAGCCGGGGCCGCCCGCTGCCGCGTCGACGGGGCGCGGACCTGCGGCGGCCTGCGGTCAGGGTTCTGCCACGAGGAGCGGAGGGCCTGCTGGACCTCGGCTGCGCCCAGATCCACGGGGAGGCGCCAAAGAACCCGAAGAACCAATCGAGCCCCCCTCGAAACCCAAGTGGGCCTCGTCCCAGTGTTTGAGGGAAGCCGATCTACGATCACTCAATGAAAAACGATCCCGCCCCCCCCTGGGAAGCCGGCGGGGGGGGGCAGTCCCCCCCTCCCCCCCCCCTCCCCGGGAACCGAAAGGGGGGGGAGGACCCCATCATCCTTGGAAACTGCGGGGGTGATTCTGCACCACACCCGCGGCAAGAAAATGGGGAGGGGGAGCCCGGGGGGTTCTGCACCCCGGCCACCCGGTTCGAACCAGGCGGGGGGGGAGGTTCGAACTGGCTCTAATCGAACCCTGGCAAATATCAATTTACTAAGGCTCGATCCAGCTCCCATGGAATCCTGCAAAGGCTATGTCCAGCTCTCCTACAATCTTACCAAGGCTGGCTCCAGCTCTAACGAAATCCTACAGGGCTCGATCAAACTAGAATGCGATTAGTGCTCGGTTCAACTCTAATAAGACCCTATATAGTCTGGTTGCAAATATTTAAAAACCACAACACGGCCCGGGCCAGCTACAATCGAATCCGGACTGGATTCAGCTGTATAGAAATCCCCCCAAAACACGGTTCGGAGTGGGAGGCTGTTTCACTCCCGATTCGAACCAGAGGGGGGCATGCCAGTAGCGGCAGAAAACGCATTTTCTAATATGTTGACCGCAGGTCACCCGTGGTGACCTATGGTGATGCTTTGCTGTGCGAGGCGGCGACAACGCCCGACAAACCACCACCGTAGGTCAGCTGCCCCTGGTCTGCAGTGTCGGTCGTGAAAGATATGTCCCCGAGTCTTCCGTGGTAACTCATGGGAGCCTCCCATACCATCACGTTGGCTCTTGCAGATCGACGCCGGTCGACGCTAAATCGACGCTGGCCGACGCCAGTCGGCGCTGAATCGGCGCTATCTCATTCGACTACCAGACGCTAATCGACGCCAGTGCAGTCCAAGAACGGAACTGCGAGGGCACGCAAGGCTCCCACGATTTTGCTACCGACCGAGCCCATCTTTGCGCTTCGCCCCCGCGCGACGCGCGAAGCGCGACGGAGCTCCGCGCGCTCGCGCGGGCCCCGCGACGAGCGCGAGGAGCGCGGCCGGTTGCTCCGCAGGGCCCCCGGGCTGCGGAGGCCTTTCCGACGGGGCCGGGCAAGCGGGGTCGCAGGATTCGGGCGGTTCGGGGATGGGGCCGGGAGGGACTGAGCATCGTGCAGCCGATCCCTGTCCCCGCTGGCGCGGCCTGGGCCCCACTGGCCGATTTACCCCCCTGGATGGGGACATCCCCAACTGAGGGGGTGAGATGGTGGGGCTCGGGGGGGTTGGGTAAACGATACTGAGGGGCATCAAGGAATGTACAGGTCAGCCTGGGGTCTCGTATGGGGCCCCATCTAGGACGAAACCAAAACCGGGGCAGAATCGGACTGGGAGAAGTCGGGAATCTTTGAGATGCGGCGGCTCAGAAGGATGCAACGGGCGCCGCGGCCGTTCCAGAGCGCTCCAGAACGCTCTCGATGGATGCGTCCCGGTCCTAAAAAAGCCCCGCCTGGCCACCCCGCAGAGCCTCATCTCTGAACCGTCGAACGATGGCAACGCGTCGCCAGTGCCCCGACACTGCGCCGGCGGTGCCAGGAAGGAAGGCAGTCGGGCTCCCGGTCGCGCAGCATCGCCGATCCGTTCTGCGGTGCAGTGCAATCTAGTGGCCCTGTCTGCTCCAGCGCTGTCCGGGGGGCGCGGATGATAGGGGAGGGGAGGGGGGGCATGTTTTGACGGCGCGCCCACCGGGGAGGTGACAGGAGGCAGGTCTGCTTCAGAAGTCGCCAAGGCTTCTCAAAGCCCTCGCGCCTTCTGAAAAGCCCTGTGGTTTTGAAGAAGGCTTAGACAACTTCTAAGAAGGCCGGGGCCTTCTGAACCATCTAAGATGGCCCGCCCCGCCGCCGAGTTCGTTAGGGAGTATGCTGACCAGCCCAAAACTATGTCAGATACAAAGCTGCCCCAGGAACTGGAGACGAGGGGAGAGAAAAGCAGGGAAGCAGAAAGGCAGCGCAAGCATGGGGCCTGTTACTTCACCAGCGTTTAGGTTTCCTAATTCGCGCGTCGCGCCCTGCGATGCGCCATGCGCAGCCACCTTCGCGCCCTCCCGAAGCCCGCCCGACGAAGGGCAGCTTTTCGGCCGACGCCGCGACGTGCGAAGCATGATATTCATCGCGCCGCGGGGGGGTCCCAGGCTTTGGGGCTGGGGGCTTGGATTTTCCGGTTGGTATTGGATGTGGCTGGAGGAGAGAACGGAAGCTCCAGCACCGATCACTTCCAAAAAAGCGTGTTCATCTCGTGGCCGCGCCGGGATATGGCAAAGCATGGCAAAGTCAACCTTGAACAGCAAGCGCTGAAGTGACAAATCGCGCCTTGGGCCAGAGGTCACCTACATAACTTCCTCCATCGCGCCCCGCGATGCGCGACGCGCTGTCATCTTCGCGCCCTCCGAGGCCCCCTCTGGGGGAATATTGGTCACCCGACGCGCAAAATCTGCGAAGGCAACCGCGAGGACGGCGAAACGTAAACTGGGCGTGCTCTCGTCGGCGGACTCGGAGCGATCGGTCACCTTGCCTGTACACTGTGCAACTTGGCGGCTGCAAAAAATACGCAAACGAGACCTCGAATAGCCGATTTCACAGAGTGTCCTAATTAGCCGCTAGCCGCCAGGAGCGACTTGGACGTGGCCCGCCTCTGCTTGCGTCAGAGGCCGGCCAAAGGCACGCCGGAAACACACGCGCTCTCTGACTGTACAAACCGGCGGGGACATTGCACTGCACAACACCCTCACGGGGCCAGCCACGCGCCTGCGGCCAGCGGCCTCACCGCACTCGCGCCTGGGCGGCCAGCCGCAGCTCGTTCCGAGCGAAGGCCCCCGCGAGCCCCCGGGCGGTCGACAGCTCGGCTTCCAACTCGGGACGGCGCTGCAGCTTGGCCCTCTGCAGCGCGTCGAGGTCGCCGCGGGCCTCCAGCTTGGCGATCTCGCGCAGCGCCTTCTCGTGTCGCCGGACGGCCCTGTCCGCGGCCACGCGGCGCTTCACCTCCTCCTCGTCCTGGGGCGCCATCACCGCGGTCGTCGCCGCCGTGGACGTGTCCGTGGTCTGGCTGCACGCCTCCCACCTCTCCTGTTTTTTCTCCTCGCGCTGCGCCTGCCTCGACTGCCACCTCTCCTGCTTCTCTTCCCACTCGGCACGCTTCGCCTGCCTCTCCGCCTGCCTCTCCTCCCACTCGGCACGCTTCGCCAGCCGCTCGGCCCGGAGCTCGGCCGGCGCCCTGCGCGTGAAGCTCAGGACCTGGCAGTCCTTGGCCGCGTGGCCGGCCCCGCGGCACCGGGTGCACACGAGCACGCCAGCCGACGCCATGGCTGCGGAGGAACGACGGCGCCTTGCCCTGCGGGGCGCTCGCCGGCGCGTGAGGGACTCTTGAGCTCGAGCCAAGGCAGCTCGCAGGCCCGGGTCACGACGTGCGCAGCGCTATCGGTTCCGCGCCTCGTGCCCCTGCCGGCGCGGTC